TATGAGAAATGCCAAAGATTTTACTGCCTGTTTTCTTCCAAGAGTTTTATGTTTTCAAGTCTTACATTTAAGTCTTTAATTCATTTTGAGTTTATTCTTGTATATGGTGGTATGTGGTCTAGTTATATTTTTTGCATGTATCTGTCCAATTTTCCCAGGACCATTTATTGAAGAGACCGTCTTTACCTCATTGTATATTCTTACTTCCTTTGTCATAGATCGATTATTTCTAGGCTCCCTATTCTGTTCCACTGATCTATGTGTCTGTGTTATGCCAGTACCATGCTGTTTTGATTCCTATAGCCTTGTAGTATAGTTTGATATCAGGTAGTGTGATACCTCCAACTTTGTTCTTTTTTCTTGACATTCCTTTGGCCATTTGGGGTCTTTTGTGGTTCCATATAAATTTTAGGATTATTTGTTCTAGTTTTGTGAAAAATGCCATTGGTATTTTGATGGGGTTGCATTGAATGTATAGATTGCTTTAGGTAGTAGGGACATTTTTTTTTTTTTTAAATCCTCACCTAAGGATATTTTTCCATTGATTTTTAGAGAGAGTGTGTGGAAGGGAGGGGGAGGGGGAGAGAGAGAGAAATATCTATGTGAGAGAGACATCGGTTGGTTGCCTCCCTAACGCACCCTGATGGGGGACAGAGATCGAACCTGCAACCCAGGTACAGGCCCTTGATGGGGAATCGAACCAGCAGGTTGACACTCTAACCGCTGTGCCACGTCGGCCAGAGCAGTAGTGTGGACGTTCTAGTGATGTTAAGCCTTCTTACCCATGAGCACAGTGTATGCTTCCACCTATTTGTATCTTCTTCAGGTCCTTTTTTCAATATCTTACAATTTTCTGAGTACAGGTCTTTTACCTCCCTGGTTAAATTTATTCCTGGGTATTTTCTTTTGTTGCAATTGTAAATGGGATTGTTTTCTTACTGTCTCTTTCTGATAGTTTGTTATTGGTGTATAAAAATGCAACTGATTTCTGAATATTAATTTTGTATCTCGCTACTTTACTGAGTTCATTTATCATTGTAATAGTTTTTTGGTGGGCTCGTTAAGGTTCTATTTGGTATCGCTCTCATTCAGTCTTGAGGCCTCGGCTTATTCACAGCCTTCTCTTCGCTGAGGCCTTCCCGGCTTCCTGGACCAGGCACCATGGGGTATATAAAATAAGATCTTACCTCTTAGACCTGGTCAGGAGAAGCCCCTGCCCTGGGCTTCATGCTTTAGAAAGTACCATATATTACAATCACAAAAGAACTAAATCTATTAGCGAAATGAGCCAGGCAGAGAAAGACAAGCATCACATGACCTTACTCATACGTGGAATCTAATGAACAAAATAAAGCCAGAAGAACAAAATAGATCCAGAGACACAGAAGCATGGAACAGACTAAGGAATCTCAGGGGGAAGGCAGGGATGGGTGTGGGGGTGGGTGGGGAGAGAGTAACCTAAGAAATTATATGCATATATGAATAACCCATGGACACAGACAGTAATGTGGTGAAGGCCTGGAGGGGATCAATGAGGGGGAGGAAAGGGGACATCTGTAATACTTTCGACAATAAAGATGAATTTAAAAAAAACAAAACTCTATTAAAAACCCACGGGTGCTCCTGTCACTTGGGATTCAGCACTCAGTGCTGGCTCAGAGCAACTAGTCACCCTAAACACATACTCCTGCGACTACCCCAGAGAAACACGTCTCCATATATCTTACCCTATGTTTTCAGGGAAAAAATTACATCTGAACACTCTGAAGTTTTGTGGGTTGTGTCAGTGTGAACTTGGAGACAGACATGGTTTTGGAGTGCAGGGAGGAACTGAATTGTGAAAGTGCTTAGTAGATAAGAGAAAAGAAAAATGGACTTGTCAAAGCCTTGCTCCCAGACAGCATGACTGCAATAGATCCCTTCCCAACATGCATCCCAGAGGTGCTGAGCACCTCTTTTCTGGTTCTGGAGAGACTCACGGATTAGTGTAGCATTGGCAACATTGCACGTGGTAGCTGAGGAACGTTTTGTAGCATTAAACAATTTATTCTTACATTTTTATATCTGTAGGTCTAAATGTAACATGAGACATGATATTTATCCTCTTATTGACAACTACATGGCCATTGAACAGTAAAACTGTAAATAGTTTTATAAAAATATTCATTAGATTTAAATTAAAAAAAAATTAATGAAGTAAGTGTTCAGCTCTTTAGCAGGGACTCTGTCTCCTTTTGTTCTCTGCTCTGGAAGGAAGGAATACTACATCTGGAATGGCCAAACTGTCAGCAGCCCAGGTTCAGAATGAAAGGACTCCAGCCAAACTTTACTCCTTTCCTTTCTCCTTCCAACCTTAGGGAGTAAGTGCAAGAAGCTTGAGCTAAGTCCTCGATGGGGATGTAGGGTGTACCTGTGCTTATCTGCCAGTGCTCCCCAAGGTGGATTTGGGGAGTGGCAGATGAATGGGGGCAGGGGTAGATCAAAGGCCCACATTTCTAGCCCCATCCTGTTCAGAGCCTTAGGGCTCCATGCTGCTTTGGTCTCAGCCAGCACTTTCTGCCACTTTCTTCAGAAAAGCCTTCAGGGGCCCTAGGGCTGCACTGCCTGTGTGCTCAGAACCAGGACCGGAGCAGTTTTCTCTCAAGGGCCTTCCTTCCCCCTCCAGGGGCTCAGAAGACGATCCTTTCTGATGCTGGGAGAGTGGTGAGGCCCGATGGGGACAGGGTTCCCCGCTCATTCTTTACCCAGTTATCCCATTGATTGTTAGAGACCTGGCTGTCCCCAATCTCAGAGAAGGTTGAAGAGCTGAACCCAGAAGCTGGGGATGGGGGCGGTAGGAAATGGTGGCAGACAGAGGGAGAGGTCAGCCAGGGGAACGCAGACAGCTTGAGCTAAGAACTAAATCCAACAGTAGAGCAGCTTTTGTCCTCAAGGACGCCCTGGACCCGAATGAATGAGCCACACACCACAGGTTCTTGGGGCAGACAGTGTGGTGCAATTGGAAAAAAAACTGGAATGGGGGTTTTTGACCTGCATTTGAATTCTGGGGCTGCCTCATAAGAACGGTGTGATCTTGGGCAAATGACTTCTCAGAGTCTGTTTCCTTTTCAGTACTATAAGCACAGGCTTGGATTCAGTTAGATTCTGCCCCTAACACCTGCATGACCTTGGACGAATAGCATCTGAGTCTCCGTTGCCTCATCTGTGACACAGGGGCAGTAATACCTTAGAGCTGTCAGGATTAAACAAAATTGTTGAGGGGAAGTAGGTTCCATCAGTAACCGAGGGTCAGAGTAACAGTGAGTTTGGGGCCAGGTGACACGGGCTAGACGTGTAGCCCCCAGCTAGATATGCAGCCTCTCTGAGAAGCAATTCCTCCTCAGTAGGAAAGGGGGCCGGCACCTTCTCGGAGGGGGGCCTTTGTGGGGCTCGGATGAGATAAGCCGTATGAAAGCGCTCTGTACAGCTCCTTGCAAATGTGAAGGATTATTTTTGTTCTTCAGCTCACCCTCTAACAAAGGCTGAATAAGTACTGAATTGGCCAGAAAAAGGGAGGGTGAGGGAAGGAATGTGAATCTCAGGGCGAGTAGCAAAAAAGCTCGAATAGTCCCAGCACTGGGTTTTAACACTTTCCATTAAGCTCAAGCTCCAAGAAATGGCTGTGCCCACAGGAGGGAGGTGAGGCGCTGGGGACAGGAGGAGGACGGGGGATTGTGAGGAGAGACACGGAGCCCACTGCTATCAAACCCCAGGAAGGTCCTCGTCTGGTAAGGAAAGGGGGGGTGGTCTCGTCCCTCAAGTCCCAGCTCCCTTTGTGTCTCGCTCTGCGACCCCAGCTCCCCTGTGATCACAGCTCCCAGCCTTGAGCCAAGAAATGTTGCCTCCCAATGCCCCCACCCGGCAGCTACCGAGCAGATTCAAATATGCTCAGGGTTGGATTCCAGAAAAAGACAGGAGCTCTTCCGTTCCCCAGCTTGTACCTCCTCCTGCCCCCTCCCCTGCCTCATGCCCTCCACCTCCCCTGAAAAGTCTGAACCAACACATGATGCCAGGGGCCAGGGCCCTGCTGGCCTGGGACTTCTCTGAGGGGCTGGATCATGAGTGCCCTTCCCTGAGAAGCTCAGCCCATCGGATGTGCCAGGGAGATGTTTCCACACATTCGTGCTTCCTGAGGCAGGGCGGCAGCAGCAGGTGGCAGGAAGGGGT